AGGGCTTAATAATAACAAGTTTCAAGTGGCGGCTGTGAATGCTGGACTTTTTGAAAAGCTAGTAATTCTAATGAATTTGACAAATCACAATTAACGGATTATAGTGAAATATCGCCGATTCCAATTACAAGTCGTTCGCCAATGTTTTAATTTGTCAAATTCATTAATTAACTACATAGTTAGCTACGAGTTCGTTACATCTGTCGCTTGTATGAACAAAGTTTCTATCGAAACTTGCGATCTGTTAAAAGCATTGATCGTCGATGATGTAGGAAAATTCTCTGATAATTGTTTCGCGTTGATCGTTGAATTTCTCTGTGAACGTTCTTTATTGAAATTTTTATCGATCGTGTTGTTGTCGTTTCGAACATCGATCGATACGAGAGAGAGAGGGGATTAAAATCAGCTGTCGCTCGAAATTTTGGTGTACACGATTCCTCTTGCAGCCTGCTGAACTTTGAATAAACGAGGATGGAATTATCACAAGCAATATGTCAAGAGGTAGATCTTGGACTTCAGAATTATTGTTCTATTCGCGAAATATTGCGAATCTATACGTAGATACTCGGCGAAGATAACCGAAAGGAATCGCGCTTTTCTTCTTCCCTCCCTTTTCTTTCTCGCGAGTTTTATCGTTTGCTGCACAAACACGCGTGTACTGAGCTTTCGATTGATATCGATACATGCAATGATAAACTCATTCTTGGGCTGCGTTCTTGTTGCGTAACCACGCGATATACGCGATATAACGACGGTGAAGCTCGCGAGGTTCGTGCAGATCGAGTGTTTTAATAATGCTTACGACGCGACCGCGATGTACACAGTCTGTGATAGATTGTGTAAATATTACGAGCCTCGGTTAAGTGTTTGATACTGGCCGATTTTCAGACGTACGTAGCTGCTTTTCTCGATCGTTTTCGAAGCCCACCTTTGAAGGCGAAATCGATATATCGCCGGATAGAACGGAGTAAGAGATATATTTTTAATTAACGTATTCTCCCGAGGGAATGAGAATCCTTTTGCCATTTATTTATCCACTTAGTTCGTTTACCGCCAGAATAATCAAAACGATCAATTTATAATTTTTTAAACGTAAGCTTGTTTACTATCTCTTGGCAGGATATTACGCTTAGTTCTAGCGTTGTAATTGTCCCAAATCAACACACATATGTACATATTGTAGTTTTCAAATCAGACATCTTCGTCTGATTCGTTCCTAACTCTCTCCTGCAAAAATGG